GCTTACACGTCAAGTTGTGGTCGTAATAGATTCGGAGTTCGTAGCGTCCAAGCCAGATGCGAGCATGCTGCGTGCAAGTCGAGATGGCATGATAGTGCGGCAACACAGACAACGGTGGCCTCTCGATAGCAAGCGATCGCAGGAGCTTGTTGTTGTGGATCCCTTCGAGCAGCAGTACCAGTTCCTTGACCCGCAGAGGTGCAGATTCTACGGAGTCCACTTCAACATACGGGTGAGGCGGCCGGACTCGATGTCCCGCAAGCTGCAAGTAAACCAGTTTTACTTGGTCTTGTCGAGCTCGGTCCCGTACAAGCGATCTCATGTTCCACCCCTGTATGGAAAGAGTACGAAGAGAGCTCAAGGATTTCAAGGGCTGAGTTACTCACCAGATTTTCCACTGGGAGAAAACTGAAGAAGTCGCACATTACAACTTTGAACACCAAGTTCAGTAGCTTTGGCACTTTCCCCGTAAACGTGGTACTCAAAGGGGACATTTTGATGCTCCACTTCTCCTCCGCCTCCCCTTTGCATCGCCCTGCAACTGTTGTTGACAAGAGAAACCAAGAAAAAAAGACTTCTTACATCTGAATTCACCATTGCAAGGCTTGCGGTAAGGCTCTGCCGGCAAGAGATCCATATCAATAACGTTGCGCGCCACCTCAGTGGAACTCACTGTAAGACGACGTAACGAAACGAGAAAACTTTGGTCCCAATACAAACCTTCGATGTTCCTGTCCTTGGAAAACTCGCTCCACAAACGCTCCAGGTGCTCCGTCACCTCCTCATCTTGCTTCGACGCGTCTAGCGAGGCAAGGCTTGTAAGTCCATTCCGCGAGAGCAGCACGCGGCGAGCGAAATCAACCATGCAGTCCATCTGCGCTCGCGCGCCATCCCAACCCAGCGTCGCAGCACACGCGCTCCTCTGGGCATCGGAGAGGCGGGCGATGTAGCAGAGTGCCAGCACCAGGAACAGCGTCTCGTCCGGATCAGAGGGATGCCATCTCGAAAGAATGGCATCTAAGCATGCGCTTTCGTGCTCGTCCAGCGCCGCTGCCTCCTCTTCATGCGGCCGAGCTGCTCTGGAGACGAACCTGGACACCGCCTGAGCATAACCAACATCCCTTGAGATGAAGTTCCTGACAACATCGTCAAACCCTTCCCCTGGTTTCAAGATCTCGGTTGCCTTGGGGACAGGGCGATAGATGGGTAGCGTGGTACGCCTCAGATCGGCAGATAAACTGCCCAGCAACGGAGATAAACGACACAGCGACGGCAGTGGAGAAAAACTACCTAGCGACCAGAGATTTCTGGAAAGCATCCTGTAAATTATATATCGTGTAAAATTTAAAATAGTGAATACAAAGATAATTAATTCTATATAATGTTATATAATTATTAATTTATATAATTTTATAATTTTATAAAAGTATAGAAATGTTTAGGTTTCTGCAACAATTCAATTTGAACAGTATTTTGAGTTTTCTTTTGTTAATTTCATAATATGGAATTTATTTAAAATGTTTAATACTATTGACATTAAGAAATAATGTTTAGTTTTATTTTTCAAGTTTCTAAAACTGTTTATTGATTGTACAAATAAAATATCTATATGAATGCTTTGCCCTGATTGCAAAGAGTAATGGTCTTTATGAACTCTGCTAGTAATATTTTAGAGTCTAAAATGTTTTTGCCATTACTATTACCTGCTTAAGCATAACCCCAATATTCTCTTGAGATGAAGTTCCTAACAACATCATCAAACTTCCCCTGGTTTTAAAATCTTAGTTGCCTTGGGGACAAGGTGATAGATGGTATGCCTCAGATCCACAAATAAACTGCTTAGTAATGGAGATAAATGGCAGTAGTGAAGAAAAACTACCTAGTGGAGAGAGATTTCTACAAAAAAAAACCTAGAAAACCTGGAAAGCATTGCTGTATGGTGTCCCAATACTCATGTCCTTGTTAACACAAGAAAATGATATTATATAAAACTTATATATATATAAAATTAATTGCAATGTTAAGAAAAATATTGGATGAATAAAAAAATATTTATCATATTGTGATTATATAAGATTTATTTTCATCATAGTTTAATTCATCCAAGAATATTATTAAGGGTTTTAGCATGTAATTAACTTAGAGGAAAGTTATGGTTGCATTAAAACTACCAAACCTTTCATACCTATATTAAACAAGCTCTATCTTAATCTAAATTTAGGGTATATAAAAGATATAAAATATTTTTATAGCCAAATATATACCTCTATAAGAGAATCTTTTTTCTCATATAAAGAAAAATAAAACTCTAGGAAGTTTTCATCATATTTATTAGTTGAGTTTATAATGCTTTTATATTAGAGCCACTATAGTTTATAAAATACCATTGCAACAAATAATACATCCCATTTCTAAGTCTGCCTATTAATGATTCTTTAAGACCACCATTAACTCAAACTTACAATTATAAGTAGAATTTGCTTTTGCATCTTCCCTTCGATCAATATCTTGTAAGTTCTTGAATTTAGACTTCCTACAAAATCATCTAACCTGCTTAACCTTAAGTATCCCAAATTTTTTAATCAATTAGTAAAGAAGGTGCACTTTTATTCATGGGTCTTTACTTTTATTCATGGGCCCTTTCCTTTTATATTTAAATTTTGTGGATTATTTTTTAAATTGTTCTCTTTAGTTATTTACACATTCAAAACCTATGTTAACTTAAACTCAAGACCATCATTCTCATCCAACACCACATATGAAAAATCAAACTCACTTTATTTGTCTTCTATATCTTCTTTATCCTCTCCTAGAAGGAATTTTTTTTTAAGCATTAACTCAATTTTGATTTATTATGTTTATCCTCACTTTACTATCTATGTTTGGCCTCACTCCCTATCACTTGGCTTCACTATATTAGGGTTAGATGTTCTTTTTGGACTTGTTATATTTGTTCTCACTTTACAATTTATATCATTTATTCTTACTTTATTATTATATTCGCTCATTTTCACTTTTGTCCATCCCCTCATCCTTCTCCTCTAAAGTATAAAGTAGATAATTTAATGTTATTTTTTTTTCCCAATCTTATGGTACATGGTTTGTCTAAAGATTTCCTTGCTCAGTGGAAAGGACCATACAAAGTGTTATAGCATGTTAGATCACAAATTTATAAGGTTTGGCATGATGTTTAACAAATCAATCCTTTAGAAATTATGCATATGCAACAGTTAAAATGTTTTATACAAAGGGATCATGAATAATTAATACCGCCTACAAATCATTAGTGTCTCCTTTTGATGTTCTTTTATATTTTAGCCCATTAACTAATAGTTACAATACTGTATATTAATATTAGCATAGTGGGATTTTAATAGCTGTTGATTGGTTTTAATTTGAACCACTCACTTTATATATAGAGTTTCTAGGCTAATATCTCCACTTAGAATTTACAAAGTGAATCAAAACATGTGTGTGTCTCTATGTATGTGTGTGTGTATATATATATGTATATATATGTATGTATATGTATGTATATGTATGTATATGTATATATATGTATATGTATGTATATGTATATATATATATATATGTATATATGTATATATATGTATA